TGTTTGCTGGAAACCTGTTATGGAAAGCTTGTTCTCCAGAAACTCCACTTCTAGCTTTTAAAGCAATCAGACTAACATTTATGGGCCGGCTCCCTACAGAATAAGCTCCATTGCCTCTCCAAAATGCTGTAGGGACATATTGCACATTACTTAAAGAAAGTGGTGTTTATGCCCCCTGTAGTTCCTGCAAAGCTATAGCACCATCTTCAGTTTAAATGCAATACATGCAGCTAATATATTTGTGTTAGATTGCCGCTAACAAAGAAACCGGAGAGTGATTTCAACAAAAGTGATCAGCTTTATTGTAGGTACGAACAAGCGCTTGAAAGAAGTCATAACCAGAACAGATTAACATTGGAAGCTAGGCTCCTTTTGAACATTCCCAGGCTAATGTAGCCACACCTATTTACAATAAACAACCAATGAGGTTGTGCGGATAATGTCCAATGAGAGTTCTTCCCTCGCTGGGAATTGGTCCAGTTCTGATTGGTCGCTGTTGTGGAGCGACCAATAGCAAGTTGGCTCGGAGGAGCCTTCCTCTGGCTCGAGCTTATCATGGAGAGTTAATGCGGCGATTCACGTAAGTCTTTTCGAATACACCACACTTTGTGTCTTTATAAAGTAGGGGAAAAGTTGCAACCAGCCATTATAAGCCCATACAAAATCCAAAACATTATAGGGCCAACAAAAATGACACAAAATATTGTGCAAGTTTTCATGCTCACCAGAACTCTACATCAGGCCAGATATCAAGGAAGGAAGGAGGCTTCTAGCCCTCAGGTCGGGCAGGGGATTACCCAGTTTCAGGGGATTCTTCCCACTGTGGACCAGCTGGCCAGTGGGGGAAACCCTGCCCCTAAACAGGGACATCGCTGCACAACATCCCCAAAGTGATGTCATGTGATGTCCCTGCCCACCCCCAGAATGCCCCCCAATCCTCCCCGCTGGAGTGACAAAGGGGCCTGGCAAACCTGGAGGGAGGGAGGGATTTGAGAAAAGGAGAAAAAGCAGATTTTTTAGATCATGATCTTTAGATCTGGTGTTACATGGATTTTGGTTTCTGTTTTCGATTTTATGTCATAATATATTATTTTGGTTAGCTAAGCTGTGGAGTCCTGTGAGCAAAAATTCTTCTTTGTGAGCTACTGGCATTAAAGTTGTGTGTGAGTGATTTGGCTACTGCATAAATTATTTTGCTCTGGAGCCATCCTTCCTGAGCTAAGACAAAAATGTGTGAGCTGGAGGCCAAAAACCTGTGAGCTAGCTCACACTAGCTCAGCTTAGAGGGAACATCAGTAAGCCCACTTCTACTTCCTCATCGGAGATCGAAACTGGAAGGGATCTTGGGCCCAGGGACCAAGTCCTAGGCTTCCCCTGAAGAGTTGGAGTAAGCTCAGGAATGCAGACAGGAGCACTTCATTGAGATGCAGATTTGTGTCTGTCCTTATCCTTGGACTTGGTCTTTGCTCTCTTAGCTGGTGGCTCGGAAGAGGCACAATGATCTGGAGGGGAGCACAACCTGGATTGGACCCATTATGACATGGATCCAGGAAGCGGAGCTGACTGTGTTGATTCTAAGGACATGACAATTGGCTATTTTTCTGGAGCCAACTTGGACGACAGCTCTAAAGCTTTGAGGGCTTTCTCCCACAATGCTGCTCTACGTTTTGATGTCCTGTCCCCCCCCCCAAGCTTTGGGGGTGAAACATTGGCAGGCCTTACATGTGGGAACATTGTGCCCTTCATCCAAACAAAACAGACATAGATTGTGTTCATCACTTTGGGTCATCTCCCCCTCCCCCATGGGTGCATTTTTTGAAAAGGGCTTTCTGAGCCGTGATACAAACTCAGAAGCCAGAACAGCCCCAGTGAACTGGAGAAATAATTAATCACCAACGCTGAAAAATCTGGAGACTCCAAAAAGACAACCTTCTCCTTTGGCGGCAAAAGAGGAACTGAGGGTGGGGGTGCTGCTGCGTGGGAGCACGTGGTCCCTGAGTGGGAACAAGTTTCTGGCTCCAGTGCATAGTGTCCCTGGAGACTTTTAGCTATAAAAACTTCTCCAATGGAAGGCCTGCTCCTGTGCAGTCCCCATGTGGGACTGCACAGAAGATCAGTGATGAATATGATGTTACCCAATGGTGTTATTTTGTTTTTGTGTTGTGTGAGGGGTTCAGTCATGGGATTTAATTTGCAAAACAGTGTAGCGGTTAGATTGTCCAACTAGGATCTGGGAGACCCAGGTTCAAATCCTCACTCTGCGTGGAAGCATGGTGAGTGAGCTAACTCAGCCTAACCTACCTCACAAGGTTGTTGAGATGATAAAATTGAGGAGGGGAGAATGATGTTGTAAGATGCTTCGGGTCCTCATTGGAAAGAAAAGTGGGATATAAATATCTAATCACATACATACGTACCATAAAGAACCACCATGTCTCTGGTGCTTTTTAAAGTCTGCTGCGATAGATCATTTGGCAGTTCAGAATCGTCAGTGAAGGAACCTAAGAATAGTGTTATCAATATGCTAACGAGGGCCAACTGCATCATGCATTTTCATTAAATAATGGTGTGGTGGTGTGGTCCTTGGATGGGGAATACAACAAAGGGCACAGCAAAATAGGAGTAGCAAGAATAGTGAACAAGAAATTGCTGCAATAAGGTTCAAATCATTCCAAAATAATGAAATAACCATCAATGAACATATACTGATGTAAAAATCCCAATTTTTTCTTCTTTATTTCATAAGTAAGCTCGGGGGTCGCATAACTAGACGAACAGCTCGAGTTTTCAAAGTTCGTTTCGGGGTCTTTTTCAAAATATGATTGTGTTGGAGTAGTTATTCACAACGTCCAAAAGCAGGAATTTCAAGTTCCAAAATGGCTAAGGATAGTTCCTATAGTAGATACTGGTTTCTTTACAACGGACAAACAGTCCTTGGATGAACACATTTATTGGTGAGGGTTAACAAAATGGAGATCAATCCAGACAAGACACAGCAGGCTAGCTTAGTCCTACTCCTGAGCAGGCCCGTAGCTAGCACGGGGCCCGCCCCCCATGGTTTTTGTGGGCCACTCCCCCAATCCTCCACTCCCCCGGCCCCCTCCCCTCTGATCGATGGTCTCGTTGCTGGCATTCTGCCCTTTCTCCTCCAGCACATGGTGGGGGGGGAGAATCTTGTTCCCCCATTCGGCTCCCCCCCCCAGCCATGAGAGGATGGCCACCCGCCGTTACACCCACCTCATGCTATAGGTGGGGACAACAAATACAGAAGAAAAAGGAGTGGACTGTCCGGACGGAGCCAGTCCCCGCCTAGGCTCAGACCATTGGCTGCCTACAGTGGGCGGGCTTTAAGTAAAGACAAGCCACACCACTACTTCCTCATCTTCTTCCAGCTTCGCAGAAACTGCAGCACAGCCTTTCTCTGTCCTTCTGCACAGCCCTGGGCTGGGCCGTAGCTCTGCCTCCTCTCCTCCTTCTCCTTCGGACAGTCAGATCCCGGCAACGCAGACCGGCTTCTGTCTGCCCTTCAGCAGCTCAGCAATCTTGGAGGAGTCTTTCTGTGTGACGCCCACCTGCTCCTCTGCTCCGGTGGTCGTAGTCCAGCTGAAGCAGTTGCTGCTGACCCCTGGTCATCTTCGGCTGGCTGGCTGGCTGGGGTTCGTCGATTATTCCCTTATTTTCTGGCGCCGCATTTCCAGCATCCATATTCCTCCCTCCAACAGTGTGCATCCTGCAGGACTCTAGGTAGGGACCAAAGGGGCTCATGTGGGGGGGAGGCTCCTCCAATGTTGTCTCTTGTAAAATACAGCATGGGCCTCTGGGCATCTTTGGAATTCTGATGGGGGGTGCAACAAAATTGCTGCCTTGGGATATGAAATCAACCACAGAATGGCAGCTGTCCATTTGGCAACAGCAAGAGCCATAAGTGATAACTTCAGAGAGGAGCTGTTAGTGCTCCATAACCTAGCAGATCCTGAAGGGGAAGCTGCAGCTTGCACTGAATTGCGATTGGAGGCAACAGGTCTATATGCAACATGTGCAAATTTGAGGTTTGCGTTCTTAGCATCTCTAATGAAAGAAGTGTTGTCTATATTTGAGCCAGGTAATGCAGCACTGCAAGACAAAGACATGCACTTAGGGAAAGCTGCTGAAGTGGTGAATGCTTGCATTTCTGTCCTCAAAGAGAGAAGTAGTAAAGCAGAGCTTTATGGGGAAATAGCTGCAATATGTGAAGAGAACGAAATACCTGTTGATACAGTGGAAAGGGGAGTCAAAAGAAAAAGGAAGGAGAAACATTTCTGGGATTTCATTGTAGAAGGAAGTGCTGGAACCAGCCGCATCATGACCTCTCATATGTACCTAAAACAGTTTTTTGTTGAAGTCCATGACTATTCCATTTGAGAGGCTGAAACTCGGTTTTCTAGTCGCAATGTGGAATACTTATCTGCTTTGGACTCACTGATTCCCAATTCAGATTCCTTTTTAGAGCAATAAAGCCTATCCTACAATTAGTACATATTAATGAGGATAACTTTACTGCAGAAGCAGATCTCATTAAAAGGAACATAGCACTAACAGATCCACAACTGAAAAAAGAGAAAAGAGCATAATGGTCTTGCTGTGCTATTTTCCTATAAAGGCACATTCCCCAATGTATACAGAATCCTTGCAGCTGCTGTGACTTTTGGAGTCTCCACCGCTACGTGTTAGTCGGCATTCTCCTGCCTTACTTGTGTTTTACAACCACAGAGGCTGACAATGTCCCATCTCTGGAAAAACAGTCTAGTGCTGCTTGGTTATGAGAAATCACTCACAAATCAAATCAATATGGACACATTCATAGACAAATTTCATTCCCAATCACATTGGCTATTACTGTAATAATAAATAATAAACCTGAAACATTTTTGTGCAATAAACCACTTGTATTTATTATTTAGTTATTATTTAGAAGTATGAGCATGGAATGGCAGTACCACACAAACATATAATGTGGGCCCCCTGAGAAAAACATTCCCCCCCCCCCGAGCAAACAGTTGTTAGCTACGGGGCTGCTCCTGAGGAACACAAATGCACATGATTCTGCCTTAAGCTGAGTCAGATCATTGGTCCATTTAGTTCATATGGTTTACTCTGATTAAAAGCAGCTCTCCAGGATAGAGAAATAGCTACCTGAAATAATTTTAACTAGAATGTCAGGAAGTCAACCAAGGACTTCCTGTACGCAATGCACATGCTCTACCACAGGTCAACAGCATTTCCCCATAGTTAGACTGCCCCATAAGCTTAAAACTATGGTTTTGCTGCTGCTGGATGTCACATGGCAGGACTAGCCAGGGACTTCAGCAAGTCAGGCTGGTGATCTGCCTGCTATCACTTTTCACAAACAAGCGTTTGATCTACAATATCCATCTATTATGGCTCCAAATTCCAAAGCATTCCCTAGCACAGTCTCTCACAAGGGACTGTGCCAGCTTTAATAAGTGCACCATATTCCTGTCAAGTGGCGCTAAACATTTTTTTTGTGTCAAATATCACATTTCATGATTTCCCTCAAGCAAACAGTGGCATAACATGATGGATCGAGCCAAAATGACATAGAAAGAGAAGTGACTGAATCCTCTAGGGGACTGTCTTCAGTAACTTTTTCATTTTCATTGTCTTTTAAAAAGCTATATGACAGATTGTGAGGATATTTCAAGATATGTCTGTAGCAGCCAGGCACATTCATCTGCAATGCAGGAAGCCTAAACTTGCATGCCTGAAGTCCATCTCTGGCCAGCCTTTCATGGTACCACTCTCCAACTTTGTTAGCAGGATACTGAATGCTGTAACCAGCCATTGGGAGAATGACCTTTGGGAAGACAAAGGTAACATGTGTTGAGTTGTTTTTTGTGATAAAACATGATCCCAATTCAAAAGGTACTCTAGAAGATCCACATGAAACTGCCTGGGCAAGCAGGGAGAGTCAGCATGCAGGGGAGCTAAAACTGAGCCAAATGCACTCAAAATCTGTAGGGCTGTGCAAACCTTCAAAAGTACAAAGAATGTGCACATGGTGGGCAGCGAGATCACCTCACCTGCCCTGTCATCCACGTATTCAGCTGAACCTCTGCAGAAAGCCTATAAATGCATAAGGGTATATACACACTTGCAGTATAATGCAAAACAGAGTTACACTGGGTTTAGAAACCTGTAAATCTGTACCGACTCCTTCATGCAACTGAGAAAACACTTCTGAACTGTTCTACAGCTTGTATATTTCCATGAAAAGAGATCTATTGTTCAGGCCTCTAGGTCTTTTTTCCAAGAATGTTTTCCAGCAATACAGCCAAGAGACAAAATTACACTACTTAGCCCAAAGCCTATGCTACCAACCCAAAGTTCCTTTATTAAGAACACAAAGTACATTTTTAACCAAACTTACTTGATTTATTGTATATTTATCGGCCATTTCTTCTGCATATGTTACTACATGGACCTGGTAATTAAAAAAAAAAAGGTATATTTAGGTCAATATAGAAATAGGGTTAAAAGGTCACCGCTTGCTTTAAAATGCAACTGGAGTACATTTCTGTTCTGGCTGTTATCACTCTTTTCTGAGCTCACATAGTACCTTGGCATTCAATGAAGAGTTTGCAGTGCCTTCTTCAGCAAAGATTAGATCACCATTCACAACTTTTGTTCCATATGTCTTAATCCGGTAGGAAGCGGCTTCATTCCAAATTTTACTGCAGTATGCATGAACATAGAAGATACGCATGGAATGAGGAATGCTGAGCCAACCTCGGCAACACCCCTCTTGATCGATACCGTAGCGATTTAATGCACGAAGTAACATCTTCTCTCTTACTTTAAAGTCAGGCAGCATTGCGAGGGTGCCCTTTGCATCCTCTGAAAGAGCAAAAAACTGATTATGTGCAGTCTACTGAAGTACATGTTCTCAGATCCTGACTACTATTTCTTCTCTGCAAATGAGGCTAGGAGGGCATGATCACCTTAGAAGTAGCAGTCAGTAGATGGGCATTTAATTCTTTCCTTGCCCGCTGCTTTCTTCAGCTCACCTGTATATAAAAACAAATCCTTCTGTTCCTAAGATTTTTCCTCTTAATTCCTCCAATTTCCAAGTGCTGGCAAATAAAGAATTTTTGGAAAATACACTTTTGTTTCAAGTAACTAAAGCAAAAGCATACCACTTTCTGAATGCAGGAGAGGCAGAAGGAATCTTAAATGTGTCCATTGATTCCATACAGAGAAAAAAAGATGTCAGATGCTAACGAGAAAGCTGTTTCCTTTAAATATGTCCTTTTCTCAGTGAAGCACAGTGCTTTTATAAGACATTGAAATGGTGCTCCCAAAAGTCCTCTTTTCAAGATGCATTTTTGTATCTCAAAAGCCTATTAGATATGTGCATTAAACTTAGTGGGTTGGATGCAGACTAAATTTGCACCCATTTGTCTTTCCCGATGCGGATTCCCCTCATGTCATTCCTCAAGATCCCCAGGAGCAGCATTTTGTGTAGATCAGTGGATTGCAGGGGGGGGGGGAGATGGGAAACTTCCATTCAGCCATTAGAAAATTTAGCCTGGAGCCAAACCAATAACTCCACCTACATAGATCTTCCCCAGGATGAAAAAGGTAAAAACTAAGGGATCAGAAAAACCCTTTCCACAAATAGTGGCTGTGACGGACAGCCAAGTTCATCTCCTTTTTCATATCTGCCAATCCCCTTTGTGCTCTGGTATTCTGGAGAAAAAGCCACCAACAGTCAATCAGGACTCATAGAATACCTGAAGGGATAAGGGAGGGGGGAGGGACAGTAGATATAAAGGCTGTTTAACTGATATTTGATCAGACAGGGTTTAGAGGTCTCTTAGACAAGTTAGGGATCCAGCTCTGTTTCTAGTATTTTCAAGGGGAAGACAACTGTTTACTGAAATAGCCTGCAGTGGCCCATACTGGTTTAAGGTTCTCCTATGTAGTGTTCCTGGTATTATTGAAAGCTATGGGCAAACGAAAGTCTGTGCTTAAAAGGTTCTAGTTTATTTATTTATTTATTTATTATTTGTATTTATACCCCGCCCTCCCCGGAGGCTCAGGGCGGCTAACAACATATAATTAATAAAACAGTAAAACAGTAGAAAGAATACAAAATATTAAAATTACATCATAATTTATAACCTATCTAAAACAAATCTAGCTAAAACCATGATGGCGGTCCTCTAAACGTCCCAGTCTTGCCCATAATGCAAAAGAGAGTATTTAGGGCTTTGGCAATCCATGCCCATATCCAGATGTCCTCCCGGGCATCGATGGTATACTGATACATTGGTGGTCTAGTGGTGGTGGCGGCTCCTATTCGAAAGCCTGGCGGAAGAGCTCCGTCTTACAGGCTCTGCGGAACTGTCCTAGGTCCCGCAGAGCCCTGATCTCCTCTGGGAGCTCATTCCACCAGATAGGAGCCGCCACCGAAAACGCCCTGTTCTTGGTCATAGTCAACATGATGGGCCGGGGCCCCGGTACCTCCAATAGGCTCCGGCTCCCCGACCGTAGTGCCCTTGGGGGAACATGTGGGGTAAGGGGGTCCCTTAGGTAGGCTGGTCCCTGGCCATATAGGGCTTTAAAGGTGATAACCAGCACTTTGAAGCGCACCCGGTACGCTATTGGCAACCAGTGCAGCGCTTTCAGCACAGGCTGGATGTGATCTCGTCTAGGAAGATCCATCAGCAGCCTGTTTAATTCTAAAATGTTAGAAAACCTGTGGAAAAACTTTTTTATAGCTTTTACAGTCACAAGAGTTACCAGTGTTCTCTCTCTATTCTGAAACAATATGTATAATCTGCAAAAAAACATTCCGTATCTCACTTTCACATAAAGTTACATTTGTACATATCCATAGTGTACTTTCCCTTCCCAGTAAAATAAACCTGTTTATTGTTGTTTTAAAACCCTCTGTTTTCCTTCCTGGTAGATTGAGGACTGATAAAGTTAACTGAGGGTTTTATCAAGAAAGGTCAGTGCATATGCCTCAGAAGCTCCATCACAGTTCACTCAGGGTGGCTAGGGGTAAATAGTGCCAAGCACTGGCAGGCCAGTATACAAATATTTCTTCGGCCTCTTTGTCAGCTCTGCTTGTGGTGTGGCAGGATAGCATGGGAACAGGAGGCAGTCCTCAGTTAATCTTAAATCAATACACGCTACCATAGAGGACTGTGGGTTTTGTAGGTTGGACTGTTTCCCTCCAAAAATATATTCGTGCTACTTCATGCCAAACAGCAACTCAGAACTCATTACAGTGGATGAATGTAAGAGATATTGGAATTGATCTAATGCTGTAGTACAGATGATCTTGTTGCTCAGGACGTTAGAGCTACCCAGGATGTTAGGGCACAAAAAAACCCCAATTAAGTTATCTCAGTTTGAGGAAGCAGTTAGTTACATTACTGAAGCAGTCCACACTCTTGTGAGCAGTAGTTAGTTTTAAACAGAAAAGACAGGACCTTACAGGGGAAAGGAAACTTTCAGGTTAATATAAGAAACTGCTAAAGGGAACATTATGGCTTGCCAAAGCAAATACTCAACGTGCAATTCTAATATTTCCATTTACAAGAGGAAATAAATAAAACCCAGTGCCAACATAGCACTTAACCATGGTTAGTGGTAACTATAGTTGGCTATCTTACTATGGGTAAAATCCCAAGGGTTCAATTATACCATGGTTTAACTTGCTGTTAAGCTCTGTCACACAAGGCATGCATAAGAGACACCAAAGAAAAATGTGATCAGCAGTAGAAAGAGCAAATATTGCAAATGTTCTCATATTTACATGTCCAGCAACAGCTCATTACTCAGAGTGACTATAATATTGCTACCGCTAGTGTACCCAAAAAGTTTGCTCTCCTGTACAACCAAATTCCTTTCCCCCTCAATACTACATTATGTGGACATATTTACCAGTCTGAAGAAAGTATTTCTTTGCCTTATTTACAGGATCATCTGTGTCTTCTGGTGTGAAAAACAATCTTACAGCTTTGACCTGCAATTGAGGCAAATACAAATACCAAGTTATTCTATATATTCTTAAAGTGGCTGCTAATCTGGTAGAGGAAACTGTTAATGGTTGAAAGGATCCCCTGCACACATTCAGAAACATTCAGTTATTATTATTACAGGCCTTAGTACTGAGCCATGGTCCACAATCATTGCGGCCTCATATAGCGCCATTAGTTCTTTCACTGTCACTGCGTGGAAAGAAAATTGTTGCAAAGTGTGTTGTTCAGAATTCATGGAACCTTTGTCTTAAAGTGAACCAAAGAATTTCACTAGATTCTAGCAGCTGCTTGCAAACTTTGACTTTGCACTGACACTGGGGAGCAATCTCTGAATCCTAAGAACAAACGTTTTAGTGTAGTAGTCTTTAGGACTGGGAGTATGTTGATTTGCTGAAGGAAGAAAATGAGGAATAAGAAAGACCTGAAAGTGGTTCTCCCCTCCCCCCTTCTTTGATTACTACCCAGAAATGAAGGAGGTGTGTGGATGCTGAACCAGGCACTTTAAAGAGCTCCTCCTGTCTGTCATCCCCTACTCCTGCACTCCCTTTGCAGAAGTTCTACTGTTACCTTTTCCTCTCTTTACCAATCAGTTCCTCTGATTCTCTGCCCCCTATTTCTTCTTGTCTTAATCTTTATCCTTCTCTCTCTTACTGGGAATAGGAGACAGAACTGGCCTACAGTAAAAGCTTGCCATTTGTATTGGGAGGGGCTGTGGCTCAGTGGTTCCAGGTTCAATCCCTGGCATCTCCAGTTAAATGATTTGGCAGTAGGTGATGTGAAAGACCTCTGCCTGAGACATGAAGAGCCACTGCCAGTCTGAGTAGACAATACTGACCTTGATGGACCAATAGACTGATTCAGTATAAGGCAGATTCATGTGTTCATTTATTATTAAAGCTTCTGAGGAAAAAGTTTTGAGGGGGAAAAATGAAAGTATTTGCATTTAAAATTATTTTTGTCAGTTTCTTTGCTAAAGTTTCAGTGAGTTGCCTATTTCTGAGACTACTCTTTTCAAATGGAACCACTGATTGGTTTTTTGTTATGATAAATTGGGGCTGTCCCAACCAAATTAGAAAGGTATACAGTTGACTATTAAGTTACGGAGAAGAATAATTAGATACTATTTTATACAGGTTGAAAAATACCAGCTCTTCATTCAGCAAAGCCAATCCAATTTGATCAGTCTGAATGTTCTGCCCTTGCCCAAAACGCTGAGGTCCATAGTAATTGATAATTTCCCTACAAATTAGAAAGAAAAGTTAAATGAAGTTTTGGAATACTCTGCATTTATACACAATACATTGAAATGACTGGAAAGATAATGGCCAGAGATGGCATTTATTACATTTTTTTTACCTTAACATTCTCAATGGCTTCCACTGTTCTCTCTTTCAGGCTTGCAGAACAGTCACTGCTGTGCTGTTTTAAATTTCTCACAATTATATTGAAGTGATTTCCTTGCAGTTGACCAAGCCTAAGTGGCTGGCTTGCAGAATGTACATTAGCCACACAGATTCCTTTTTTCTCAATTGACTTTCCGAGTTCTTTCAGTCTGCACAAGACAAACAACTGGAAATGTCATGTACCGTCTAGCAAACATTAAATAGATAAAACTGCCTTGAGCCAAGAGAAAAGGTAGGTTTCAAATATTGTAATAAATAAGTAATTAATGTGTGTTATATACACTGTTCCCAGAGTTGGAAACTGTTTTAGCCATCCAGTAAACTGTAGATTGAAGGTCAAAGAAGACGGGGACGGCAAAGGATGAGATGGTTAGACAGTGTCATAGATGTAATGAACATGAAATTGAGCAAACTTCAGAGGACGGCGGAAGACAGGAAGGCCTGGCATGATTTGGTCCATGGGGTCGTGGAGAGTCGAACTCGACTGTGCGACTGAACAACAAAACAAACTGTAGTTAAAGATACTACAGATTACTTTTCATTCAGTGCTACACTATAACAAAAGGGTTATAAACAGGGCTCTAGTCGGGGGGGAGCTCTCAGGTACGGAGCTCCGGAAGAGAACCTCTAGGGGGCGGGGCCGTCACATGGTGAAGCCCCGCCCCCTTCTTTACCCCGCCCTCTGCTTCGATCCTCATTCCGTTTGGGAATGAGGATGAAGCAGGAGGGTAAGTAGCCGGGCCTTCTGACACACTTCCGGTGATGTCAGGGGGTGTGGCCTTCTGTCACTTCCGGTGATGTCAGGGGCGTGGCATATGCAAATAAGTTATGCTAATGAGTTATGCTAATGAGCTCCGGCAGCTCTTTTTCTACAACAAGACCCCTGGTTATAAAACAGGAAGTCTGCAATAGCTCCTCCCTTTAAAAATAAGCTTGATGCAACATGGATCACGGGGAAAGCACTTACCTATATAAACATTCCATTTTAAATATTCCACCCCACCATTTTAAAATGAACTTACTATGTGCTGCCCTGTGTGTCTGGCTTAGTCCAGGCAGCTGATCACTGGTATGGTAATGCTAGATGTGTTTGGGGTGGCACACAGAAAAAGTTCATTTAAACATACTGAGGTCATGTAGAGTATTTACAAGGGTAAGTCCTTTCTCTATGACCTGCACCATATACAAATCAAGCTCTGTTCCTCCCTCCCTGCTTTCCCCATTGTGGTTCACTTTCTCCTTGCCACGGTTTCAGTTTACTTCCCTCAGTGCAACAGGGAGTGATCCTTGTACCCAAGAATGCATCTTTTCCATCTGTTTTGCAATGATATTTTTATGGGGGTTGAGGGTACTGATTATTCTATAGTTTCACATATGTTGTTTTCCCAGTATCCCACAAACACAAAAACAGAAACCAGGAAAGGAAAGAAGGGAGACTCTAAAGCAGGGGTGTCGAACATATTTGTTATGAGGGCCGGATCTGACCTAAATGAGACCTTGTTGGGCTGGGCCATGTGTGTCATAAAAGGTAATGCCAGGTAGTGGAGATATAAACTTTATAAAGGACACAAACACAAAAGGGTTTTTTTTAACTTAAAATAAAAACATGCTTCGAACATTAGCACTCTTGCAATATTGTGTTTATGATAACTAACACCTCTTGCTCTGAATTATTGCATCGAAATGTCTGTGCTGTTGCAGTCTCGAGTATGCTGTTCAGGTGTATATCTGTAAGTTGCAAACCTACGATGCAGCAGCAGCAGCAGAACTGGAAGAAGAAGAAGAAGCGGAAGACAGCCAGTTCCACTGTGGGCCTGATAGAAGCCCTCCGGGGGGGGGGGTTGATCCGGCCCCCAGGCCACATGTACCCCTGCTCTAAAGGTATGTGACTAACAAAAAAAAATCCCACCCAGACATTTAAAAGAATGAGAAGCAAGCAAGGAGAAGATGGATGCCATACAGAGAAATGGGAAGAAATGGAAGATGAAAAGCAAATGCAATATGAGCAATCTGAATTATAGCCATATGAATTCTTGACTGAGGCATTTGAACTCACTCCAGAAAGTGCAACTCAGCAGTTTTCGCTTGCTGTATTCTGTCCTGACTCAGGCCCCAAAATGATGGATATGAGCCAACCAAAGTGAAACATTTCTAAACACCACTGATTTCAATAGACCAGAATATCTGTACCTTTCCCACTAGAATAAATAGAGAGAGGGATGACATACAAGGTTTGCAAAAACTTGCATGTTACAAGAGCAAAGCTGCCAGGAGCAATGTTTGATGGAACAGTAATGAAGAAAAAAGAACTTACCAAGAGGAAGCACTAATTGGTCATGCAGCGTAAAAGAGGCTGCTCCAATAGAGGAAAGAATTTACCAACAGCCTTGGCAGATTTAATCTGCAATAAAACCTAAATTATATAATAATTTTCACCACATGTCTAATTTTGCAGCCATTCTACTTGGGGAGGGGGAAAAACCCTTTCCTTAGCTGGCTTGTAAGAACTGAAAAGTCAAATGAACACTTCAAGGCCAGATATTTGAACCATCCACTGTGTTTTCAATTATACTTATGTATAATAGACACCCAAGAAAAGAAACAGTCCTGGGAGTTTGTTTTTGTATGGCCGACAAGGACAGAGGCATTATGGCTGAGAGTGTTGTGATACAAACTTTCTGTATAATGAACAACAGATTTTCAAAGATCAGAGCTGGAGAATGTAAATGAAGAGTTGGGCTGCACTGACATCTCTAAGGCCAGCAACATAATACCAGCTTGCTAAACTCCTTTGTTGTTGTTCAGTTGCACAGTCGAGTCCGACTCTTCGCGACCCCATGGACCAGATCACGCCAGGCCTTCCTGTCTTCCACTGTCCTCTGAAGTTTGCTCAATTTCATGTTCGTTGCATCTATGACACTGTCTAACCAGCTCATCCTTTGCCGTCCCCGTCTTCTTTGACCTTCAATCTTTCCCAGCATCAGGGTCTTCTCCAGTGAGTGCTCCCTTCTCATTTGGTGGCCAAAGTATTTGAGCTTCAGTTTCATGATCTGGCCTTCCAGGGAACAGTCAGGGTTGATTACTTTTAGGATTGACTGATTTGATCTTCTTGCAGTCCAAGGGACTCTCAAGAGTCTTCTCCAGCACCATAGTTCAAAAGAATCTATTCTTCGGCGCTCGGCCTTCCTTATAGTCCAACTCTCGCAGCCATACATGACTACTGGGAATACCATTGCTTTGACCATGCGGACTTTTGTTGCCAGGGTGATGTCTCTACTTTTTATCATGCTGTTTAGGTTCGCCATCGCTTTCCTCCCAAGGAGCAGGCATCTTCTAATTTCATGGCTGCTGTCACAGTCTGCGGTGATCTGGGATCCCAGGAACGTGAAGTCTGTTACTACTTCCACGACTTCCCCTTCTATTTGCCAAGGAGTGATGGGGCCGGATGCCATGATCTTAGTTTTTTTGATGTTGAGCTTCAAGCCCACTTTTGCGCTCTCCTCTTTTATCCTGAGCAAGAGGTTCTTTAGGTCCTCTTCACTTTCTGCCATTAGAGTGGTATCATCTGCATATCTGAGGTTGTTGATCTTTTCCCCAGCAATCTTAATTTCCCAGCAATCTTAAGCAATCTAAACTCCTACTATAGGATAAATAGACAAGCAAACACATTTTTCAAGGAACAGTTAATCAGTAACTTAAAGAAATAGGAGATGATTTTCAACAAAAATCAAACAGTGCCATTTTTAAAATTCTCATTGTTTTCTGTTGTAGCACAAACTATAGAATGAGCTAGCCACTTGTGTGCTGTATGGTAACATGCAACCATCAGACCCCCCCCCCCAAGGATTGCATACCTATCCTTTTCTTCACATGATCCTAAGAAGTACTGCTATACAGCAGGAGTCACCAGCCTTTTTTCAACAAGAGTTACCTCCACCAAATGAAAAATATTCCAACCTACTTTTGCCCCCTTGCCCAGCACATTACCAACTTTTGCTCTGTCCTAGAGGCAGAACATGGATTAGAAAGAGCACCAGAAATGAAGCTATCAGCTATGCTGGACAAAGAAAAATCCTGTTAAATGAGAACTTTAAAACAAACGAAAAGATAAACAAACTCTAGAGGAGATTCTTTGTTATCTTTTTGTCGTCTTTTTTAGGGGACACATGAGCTACACTGCAGCAGCTAGTGAACTTCCAGTGCCTCATGAGCCACCTGTTGGAGACCCTTGCCAATCCCTGTTATCAGTATGAACATAAACCTATCATCACCACTGTATGCTTTGGGTGGAAGTCAGAAAACAATTTTAACAGAGCCCTCTACTTCCATTCTAGGTTTTGATTCTGTTTCTTTATAAACCCAGTATTAACTTAGAGAAGATTTATGAACCAAACAAATTAAAAAACTGAATGGCATTGTTATCTGCATCTTCTGAAGCTGACCTCCCCCGCCACCAACATATTGACCAATATAACCTAGATCTCATATGTAGAATGAAGTCATATCCAATGCTCCCTCTAAGCTGTGGAGTCTTGTGAGCAAAACTTTTACTTTGTGAGCTACTAGCATTAAAACTGTGAGCGAGCAATTTGGCTGCTGTATAAATTAGTTTGCTCTGGAGCCATCCTTCCTGAGCTAAGTCAAAAATGTGTGAGCCAGAGGCTAAAAAACTGTGAGCTAGCTCACACGAACTCAGCTTAGAGGGAACACTGGTCATATCCCTGAGAAAGTCAGGATGTAAGACTGGAATCACAATACAATCTTTTGCTGCTATTCTCTGCAAAATATTAAAGTGGTACCGGTTTTAATAAATGGTGTTAACCTCCACTGTGAGCTGGCCTTAATACCTTTTAGGAGTTATCTTCTTCACCACCATAGCCTGGTACGTAATGGCCTTCTTGTCTTTAATGCCTGTGTAACTGAAGTCTGAAGACAGCACACCAAGTTCAGAAGACAAATAGCCAATTGCTTCAAGCGTTTCCAGGTTCTCTTTCCGGAGAGTAAAAGCTGCAAATGATATTATGATAAATCCATGGCATCCCCTATGAATGCACTGTTCTGAATTCATTAATGGCACTCTAAAGGGATGCACATAATACACTGATATGAGAAGGTTGGCTTCAATGAAGAGGATGATTGAGGAAATTTACTGATTAAACCATCTTGTTCGACTGAGAACATTGATGCAGCTGGTTTAGGTTGAAATATTCTGGTTTAAGGTGTTGGTCAATTCTGATGGCAGCTGCTTACTAGTAGTCATAGCTGTCTCATGAGCTAATAATGAAATCTACCATATACAAATATTATTCATTTGTCTAAAATATTTGTAGCCTGTCACTCTACAACAAAATTATCACACTGTACCCTGCCACTCTACAAAGTTGTAACAGAGGTGGCTTATGACATTAAAATTTCAATAACCAACTAAAATCCTTGAAACACCCACCCCCTAAAATCAACGCAATACAGGTATAATATCCAGAGAGATTTAAAGCCCCAAACTTCCTGCTTAAGAAAAAAGAAGAACTGGACTAAAATACCCACAATCTTTGGGTCAAACAAGATGTGGCAATGTCTCTGTGGCTGGTACAAGGATGCCATTGCCATTTTGAAGTGATTTTAAAATGCTGCAAGCCCACAGTGCAGCATGCTGAGGGACTCTCCCCCCCCCCTGCACTTTTTCAAGTGCTGAAATAGCTGCAGGGAGGAGGGGCATATGGCCATTTTGGCAAATGATAAGGTGCAAGCGGGTATAAGAGCCCCTCATTCCCCTGAACTGCAGGTCCAATCAGGATTGGGCCCTGAAGTCATTTTAAAAGCAGTTTAAAATGCCAACAGCATCCTCATGGCACACACAATGACGAAATCACATCTAGTTTAGGCCCGTATAATGCAGTCCTAATCAGAGCTAAATCCTTCTAAGCATAGTGACCTCAATGGACTTAGAAGGTTGCAACTTAATCAGTATTCCACTGTTAAGCCCCTATGGGGAAAATGTTATTCGTGTAGAATCGAGAGAATCCCTACTTTAAATGCCAACAGTGCAAACAGAGTATTCTGGGGCTTGTGCCTTTCCTCCTCTATTTGTTAACCATGCCCATCAACCCACCTTGTATTAAGGGGTGAGTTTGTATGTTGGATGGAATGACTCGAAGGGAGGTGGAACTCTGCCTTTTTCCACTGTAGTAATTAAAACAAGGCTTCCTTCATCACCATTGTCCTATCTTCCACAACACAAGGTTGGATTGTTGCTTCTTCTCATGATCACACCTCCTGTCCCATACGGCTTTTGTTCATGCAGGTACCACGATCCCCCAGCATAACCTTTTGGGATGATCAAAAGGGAGCCCTCCTCCCTTTTTCTCCAATGGGAAAAGCTGTTGGGATCCAACCCACAGTTTCAAAACCTACCTGTCAATGATGCCAGGAGCCTTGAGAGACTATAGGCACATAAACTCAGAGTAATGCCTGAAAGCAAATAACTTTTCCCTGGTAAACCCTGTTACAGATTTATTGTGCTTTCATAGCACTACATTTCCTAACATTTAAAAAAAGAAAAGAAAAATGAACAAATCAGTAAAAAGCATGACATAAAATTCCACAGGAAAGTATACAGAAAAATATATACTTTAATGCCATTGTAATCTCTGGCCCTGTCCTACTCACTCTTTCCTTAACTAAAACCCTGAGTTTAGCTTTTTTTCAGAAAGACACATTTCCATTTCAACATTATCTTCCCTTTGCTAACTTTTTAGAGGGCTCTCTCAGTTACCACATGCTGGGATGAAACACTGAGACTGACATTAATGAGGCTGTGGTTTTCTTTGTGAAGTGCAAAAATTGTTTAGATAATTATATAGTACACATTGGCAAGATGCAAAAAAGGTGATATTGTCCCCCCCCCCCACACTGCAGCTATCCATCCCACATAGCTATTAGTCCCACGGGGATCCCCCATTCTCAGGAATAAACTTTCTCAGAAAGGCCTCTGTATGGGAGAGGAAGAAACATCCTGGACCATCACCGCCTTCCAATGTTGGTTTGCAGTATCCAACTCAATTTCTCTCAGTTTTGAAATGGAGTATTAATTAATCTATGATTCTATGATTCTTAATCAGTAGCCCCTGAGAATCTACACCTAGATGAGAATGAGTGCCTAGCACTTAAAATCCAATTCAAATTAAAGTAGTAAAGTAAGTTTAAGCATATTGGCAATATTTACTTACAGTGTCTCCCTTAGTGCACTTTTGCAGTCTTTCGCCATAAAATGTCTGGCTATGGGATTGTATTAGCACTACTTCACATTTATTGACTAGGGGTTGGATTCAGTGACTCCCGTCTTCTAAGTGTGGAATCTTTCTCTGCCAGAAGAAGTCCATCTGAGAAAGATTTCTCACTTAACAGAAGGAAGTTAGAAGGAGATTTATTTTGAATACTCAAGACAGTTCCAAGAAAGTGTTTGTCACACAGTTACCTGCGTATATTTCTTGCTTCTCTCTGCGATCAACATTAGTCCTTTTTTGGAAACCAGACCTCTCACGAAACCTTACTACAACCACAGCATTTTGCTGAGAGTCAGGGAACGACTTTGTTTCCACCAGCTTTCCGAACTTTCTACTGATAAAATGGTGAACTTTTTTACGGTGTTCCTTATTTCCATCAGGTTTAAAAGTAAACTTTGTATCTTCTGTTCTGGCATCTAAAAATTTTAGAAAACCATATGCTTCCTCTTCAGACACCAAATGGCAGAGTTCCTGGTAATCTTGGTTTGCTTTCACCATAATTTCACCACATCTTGTAACAGTGCTCAAGAAGGGATACTGCTGTCTTATGGCACAATGCAAGCTGGCACGAGTCCTCTTATCAAGGACTGGACCAAGGGAGAACTCAGAAGGATGAACTGCAGGCTCAGATTTAGAATTCCATGTGTCCTTCGTGTTACAAGCGAACAGCCTTAGCTGCTCACATACGGAGTTGTCTAACAAGGAGTCCAGCGTAGCAACTTTGTCAGGCTGCCAACCAAATACATTCTTGTCTTCAAAATCTCCAACCCCCCTAGTGGAAGGAGGAACACTTTCTGCTGTACACAGAGCACTGTCTTCTATACACAGCTCTGGAGAGCTCAGCCGTGGTATTTTACAATCGTGCCGGCAGATCTTAAGCTGTTCTGACAAGGTTTCTTTGCTCTTGAGATCTGTTGTGATTTCGGTAACTAACTGCCCAGATGTATCAATTTCTGTTACTACAAAGTCACTTGGTGATTGTTTTATACTACCACAAAAGCCAATATGTCCATTCATGTAAGAGGAAGAGTGGAACATGAATGGCCTGCAAGAGTCTTCTTCCATTTCAATATTACACTGCCTGGCAAAAGAGGAAAAGATCAATGCAACAATCAGACAATTGCCGTATAGATACTGGGGATGGAAGCAGAATCTGAAATGTTCTGTTTAGAGGAAATAACGTTCTCATTTTGAACACATGAAGAAGCCTCATGTCAAATCAGACCATTGGTCCATCAAGCTTAGTATGGTCTATTCTCACAAGCATTGGGTTTGTAGGGACTTGGGGAGAGGAAAATATTTTCCAACACCTACTTCCTGACACCTTTTAACTGGAGAGGAAGGAACTGAATCAGGAACCTTCTATATGCAAAACATGTGATCTATTGGATGAGCCAGGCACCCTTCACTGCAAAACCAGTGGGACTCAAACATCTTTTATATGTTACTAAAATCTCAAGCAAAAATAGTTTTGGTTCTATTGCATTTTAACTGCGTAAGTCGCCTTGAGCCAGCGCTGCACCGGCAAGGTGGAATATAAATTGAAATAAATAAATAAATTTGCTTAGCATTAATGGGGAACAGATAAACCCATGGAGGACAGATCCCATCAATTCTTATTAGCCATGATGGCTAAGTGGAATAGGTTTAGAGCAGTTCCATAGCTGGATCCTGGACTATGGATACTGCCATAGCTCTCCTCTATGGCATATAGTGCCTATCATCAGCTTCAGTTGATACATCAGCTATGATATCAAAAAGCACGACCAGGCCACAGTGATCCATGCTCTGGCCACATCCAGGTTACTGTCATGTACTTTACATGGGGCTGCCATTGAAAACTATTCAGCTGGTCCAAAATATGGTGACCAGGCTACTGTCAAAAGTGGGATATAGGGATTATATCCCCCCATGCAGACAGATCAATCCAATCTACCCATCTATTCCCTTGCACAACAATTCAGAGCACTGGTTTCAGGGTGGATTTGATTTAAATCAAATCACAGAATCATAGAGTTGGAAGGGATCTCCAGGGTCATCTACTCCAACCTCCTGCACAAGGCAGGAAATTCACAAATACTCCCCCTCCACACCTGCAGTGACCACCGTTCCACACCCAGATGACAAAAAAAACCCTCCAGGATCCCTGGCCAAACCAAATTGCTTCCTGACCCCAAAGTGGCAATCAGCATTTCCCTGGGCTTGTAAGAAAGGGCCACAAGAACTAAGCACTGAGGTGACCCTTCCTGCCCTCCCTCTCATGATCTGCCGAAGTTCACAGAATCCGCATTGCTGTCAGATGGCCATCTAGCCTCTGTTTGAAAACCTCCAAAGAAGGAGAGCCCACCACTTCCTGAGGAAGCCTGTTCCACTGAGGAACTGTTCTGTCAGGAAGTTCTTCCTAATGTTTAGCCGAAAACTCTTCTGATTTAATTTCAACCCGTTGGTTCTAGTCCGACCTTCTGGGGCAACAGAAAACAACTCCATACCATCCTCTATATGACAGCCCTTCAAGTACTTGAAGATGGTTATCATATCACCTCTCAGTCATCACAATTTAAATCACTAGTCAGTAAGACTAGGTTTAAATCATGGTTTTCTACATAAAGACTCATTCTTGCTGGTAGATTCTTAAGTGTTTCAATTTTGCATGCATACCTGCCTTACCCATACTTAGAGGAACTTCATTAAAATATTCCTGAACTGGGTCTCTTTTACAGCTTGCTGCCATTATAGGGTTTCTCCTGCAGGGAGAGAATAATATGATAAACCTCAGGCTATATACACAAAGATTCCAAGATTTAAGGAGTATTCTGCTCAAAAGGTTTCATTTTCATTTTTACTGTTTGCCCCTCCTTCCTCACTTAGCTCCTTTTGCAGATCTATTCCATTCCAAACAATCTTGTATTCACTGAACTTCTTAAAACTTAGCACAAGAGGTAAATGGTTGATTCTGTGTACATCAGGTGTGTCAAACTCATTTGTTATAAGGGCCAGATCTGACATAAATGAGATCTTGTTGGGCCAGGCCATGTGTGTCATAAAATGTAATGCCAGGTAGCAGAGATATAAACTTTATAAAGGACACAAACACAAAGATTTTTTTTACTTAAAATAAAAACATGCTTAAAACATTAGCTCTGTAAGCTGCAAGCCTACTTTTGATTATTGACATTCACCACAGAAATCTCATGCTCAGAGTTCTGAGTCTAGGACCCAGGTTAAAACATGAAATGGCTGAGTGATTAAGAGAGTCTGGCGAAGCAAGCTACGATGCAGCAGCAGAAATGGAAGCAGGAGATGGCCAGTTCCACTGCGGGCCTGATGGAAGCCCTCCAGGGGGCCTGATCTGGCCCCCGGGCCACAAGTTTGACACCCCTGATGTACATAGATTTGCAGAGAAACAATGGGATTAAGGTCTTTTTCTGTATGTTTATTTTATAACATTTTTGCTGTGAAGAAGAGCCATGTTATCTCTGCAGACACAAATTCACAGTTTTGAGAACTGCAAAGCCAAGCATCTATGATAATATCTTCTAGGAAGAAAAATTGCCCAAAATAAACTTACAGAAACCTCTGGGAGAGCATGACATTGTTACTGGATGAATGGAATTCATTTACCAAAAAATTTAAACGTTGCATGAATATACCGCCTCATGCTACATAATTAAAAACTAATCCATATTTCATGAAGAATAACATTTGGACTATAATGTATCTTAAATAGAAAACTAACTTTAGATAGATTTTTCCTCAAATAGCATTCTATTTTTAAAATATGGTTTTAAAAAAACCCAATTTAATTTTTTTAAATCCTTTTTTAAATTATTTTTTTAAAAACCAATTTTTTATCCACCCTGGTTAGTTCTTACCTTTAAGGCCCCAAATGGTTTACAGTCAGGATACCAGAATGACTGTCACCTCCGGTACTATCCAGCCTGCCCATTGAGATCCTTGTCACAAGCCCTGCTCTCTGGATCCCTTCCAGCAAAGATTACTAAAGTGGTGACCAGAGACGGGGCTTTTTAAGTGGTGGTGGAACTTTGCCTATGGAATGCCATCTCCCTTGAAGTTTGTCTGGTACCTACCCTATTTTTTTTTTAGGTACCAGGCCAAAACATACATTTTTACTCAGGCTTTTAACTAGGGGTTTAATCTTTTAAATTGTTTCCACAATCTGCTTCTAGCCTGAGGACTGCTATGAAGATCATTTTATGCATTTTACACTGATTTATGGAATTTTTATTTTATTGGCTGGGTTTTTGATGATTTCTTAATGTTAACAATTGTTATGCTTTTTTATTATTTTATCTTGTTTTTGTGAGATGCCTTATCTCTGAAGAGGCATTATATATGTTTTCTAAGTAAATAAATGAAACGTTCAGAGTCACAATATCCTTGAATACCAGTTGGAGGAGGAGGAGGGAGTATCAACAGTGGAATCACTGGTCTCTTTTCCCTACTTGTAGGTCTTAGGCATCTGGCTGGCCACTGTGCAACAGAGAAATACGGTTGTCAGGTCCCCTGGGGGAGCAGGGAAACCCCCGCTCAATGGGTTTGTTACCTGCTGGCCCAGATCGGGCCGCTGGGGGGAACCCCACCCCCAAAGTGCCAGGATCACGGAGACGTGCCTGGCATAATGGCGTCACCCGGAGGTGATGTCATCGCATCGGGCACGTTGCAGGGGGACAGTCTATCATTCAAGGGAAAACTCTATGGTTTCCCCCTGAATGATAGTGGTTCCACCCCCAACGTGCCCGATGCGATGATGTCACTTCTGGGTGACATCACTGCTGCGCGTGTGCTTTGCGCGCATGCCGAAGAACTTCCAGAGAGGGGCCAGGACTCCCCCGCTGCAACTAAAGGTAGGACTTGGCAACCCTATAGAGAAACCAGAAAGGAACAAAAAATAATGTACATTACTACAAGAAGGTATATAAAAAAAACCCCAGGGTGTACTGTAAACTGCAATTTGAAAATGTCACCTCAACTTACAACATGGAACAAATGTGACAAGCATATAAATGTAAACAATATCTAGTGTAGCAGCAGCAATAACAAGTGTGTAAATACACAGAAAAATACACAATACAAATGACATCAAAAAAGTTGACACATATGACAAACTACAGATTGCTAGCCAAACCGTTTTGAGTAGAATTTCATCAGTCCAAACAAGCAAAAAAGGTCTCTTGCCTGTGCTGCATAAGATGGGAAATAGCATCATACTGTTTATTTTTCTGCATATTTACATACTTGTAAACAATATTCAGTGTACTGATAACAATTGCATGCTTGTCACTTTTGTTCATATCGTCAGTTCAGGTGGTGTTTTCAATTTGCAGTTTACAAAGCACCCATATTTTCAATATATCTTCTTGTACCGGCCACTGCAAAACAGGATGTTGGACTGGATTAGCATGGTTCTTCTTAAAGTGGACAAGAAATATTCGTACTCTAAACATAAAATGCCACATTTGTTTTCACTCTCACTGCTGCCCTCTACTGCAAAATATCAGTATAGACAAAAATGAAGAGGGGTTTTGGAGCCTGTTTAGTTCATGATCTCAATTTATATACAATATTAAACAGATTATTTGAAACATGACATGGTATACAGTATAGAATATTCTCTTTTTCATAACCAGTTGGATGAAATAGATACAGATAAGCTTATTACAGAGACTTCCAGGATCCTTATGCCACATTACACTTCCAGGTTATCACTGTATTTTCCCTTCTCATGCTATTTCTTTCAGAATACAGAATCCCCAACAGTTTTTAAAACTATCATTATTCCAGTAGGTTTTTAAAAAAATCTTATGGGAAGAGACAATAATAGATTATTTGAAAGACAGAAGGACAATCAAAAATATTCGGCATGGAACGCTTATAGGAATTGCAGCTGCCTCCATTTCTTTTGGCCTTCCAATACAACACAAAACTTGCTTATTCCACAGGGCCTTCGAAATGTCTTGATACTCAACTTGCAGTGATTCTTTATACTGATTATGTTCTGTTGTGGTCTCTTTGCTACTTTAAAATGGGTTTTTGGAGATTGCTATTTCCACGCTTTATAATCTTTTTCTGTTTTATAAATGATTAATTGTAATATTTTACATATTAATATATAATCTAGACTATAAATCCAGTGGCACCCTAAAGGCTAACCAGATTTCTTCCAGTAGAAAACTTCATTAATTGAGCTCACTTTGCCAGATGCAGAAGAGTCACAAAAGCTGATGCTGGAACAAATTTTCTTACGTCTTTAAGATGTTCCTGGTATGCTGTTTAATTTTGTTGCAGCAGACTACCACAGCTACCTGTCTGGAATTATATAGTATAGGAATATAGGACTATTATAATATACTAGTATATAGTATAGGAATATAGGACTAGTATAGGACTAGATGTCCTGTATGGGTATCTTTCAAAGACAAGGGGGAGAGACTTCTGTTGGGAACCACAAAAGGCACTGAGTACCAGAAGCTATACAAAAGGGGGGAAAGGCAGATATACGTAACTGTGAACAAGTGTTACTAAATATAGTTCAAACAGTACAGTGCAGTCAGTGCCTATATACAGTGCATGATACAGTGAAGTATGACAATTAAGGTGTAACAATTCAGTGCATGATACAGTAAACTATACCAATTGATGTCTGCTGGCTAATTAAGACACCATTTCGATATCTTCTTCAGAACTGTACTTTATTCAGAATAACACTTTACTGTATCATGCACTGAACTGTTATACCTTAATTGTCATATTTCACTGTATCATGCACTGTATACAGATACCGTTTACACTGTATATATTAACATTTCGTTTGTACACAGTTAAGTATATCTGCCTTGTTTCCTTTTGTGTGGCCTCTGGTATTCAGTACCTTTGTGGTATCTCTCAAAGATGACACTTTTTTAAAAAAAAGTTAAACTAGCAGCTTGCTATCAGGACGTGTAGTATGTCCCCCCTCCCTTTTAATTGTTGTTGTAAACATAAAGTACTAAGAAAATGGCAGAAATGTGTCTTTGTGATGGAGTACAAAAAATTCAACAAGCTACAGAACACCCTCTAAGGCTGCGGTCACACACACTAAATAACCCACTTTCCGTGCACTTTCCAACTGGATTTTACTGTGTGAACTGGCAAAATCTAGTTGGAAAGTGCATTGAAAGTGGATTATGTGACCGCAGCCATAGTGTGGCTGCCCTTGGAGGCAATGCAGAAACTGCAGCAAGTGAGGCCTATATGTTACCAAGGCTTGCCCATCAGCACCACATCACTCTGTTCCTGAAGTCAGGTTGTTGGCTGCCTATTTGTTTCAGGGTCCAATTCAAGGGTTCAGCAGTGAAGTTATCAAATCTGCAGATGACACCAATTTTTTCAGGATGAGGAGAACCAAAGTTAATTGTGAGGAGAATAATTCCAAACTGGGTTAAATAAGCTACAGTGTGGCAAATGAGGTTTAATATTAGTAACTGTAAATTAATACATATTGGAGCCAAAAGTTAAAATAAAATTAAAATCCTGATTTTATAAATATATTCTGAAGGGATGTAAACTGGTGGTGACTGACCAGGACAAAGATCTCTGGGTCACGATGAATAGTCTGATGAAAATGTCACCTTAGTGTGTGGCAGTGGTGAACAGGGCAACTGCTTTTCCCCAAGAGAAACGGCTAAGGAGATTAGAAGCACAATCCTAAACAGTTACACCCTTTTAAATCCATTGAAATCACTGGATTTAGAAGAGTGTTACCTTGTTTAGGACAGCATTATAGTTCAGCTAGGATGAATATGCTTGTTACACCAATTTGACAGTCACTCCATTCATTTCCAGGTTCAGTTCAAGGTGTTTTATAGGTAATAGTTCCTTCATAGTCTAGAACTCTCATATACCTCTCCCAGTATAGTTTGCTGCAACAGCTTCATTCATCTGAGCAAAGCCTTTGGCAGGTGCCATCCTGCAATTAGGTTAGATGGACAACTGCCCATAACTGAGCATTCTCAGGTATCCTTATGAAATGGGCTGCCTGAGAGGACACAAAGGCGCCCACACTTCTATCATTTTGTAGAATGCATAAGACCGAATTGTTCAAGCATTGCAGTAAAACAGTATTGGCCAGAATTACATTTTTATAAAGGGAATAGGGTTGGAGTTAATGGCTATGAAATTTCAGGCAGTTTCCATTGTTATACCTTATTTAACTGCATTGTTCTCTAATTATACAGTCCAGATTTGCTGCATTGTTGATTTCATTTTATTGTTTTAAAACATTGTTCTCTAATGTGGTAATCCAGTTTTATTGCAGTGTTGGTTTTATGTGTTATATTGTTCTTATTGTATTGTTTTTAATTGTGTAATTTGCCTTGAGCCTCAATGAAAAATGTGGATAATATAAATGAAGTAACTAAACTAGAAGAGATAACTGTCCTCCTAAATACCTTGCTTGCAATTCAACAATCTCCTCATAACGCAATTACAGTATTGCTCTTATTTAAAGAAATTCAAAACAGATTTTTCAGTATAAACCCTGAAACAGAATGTATTTAAATTCAATTTTAATACAAATGAAAGAATCTTATTAAATGTTTATATAAAATTTAGTGAGTTAAAACACATTAGAGAGCCAGTTTCGTGTAGTGGTTAAGTGTGCAGACTTTAATCTGAGAGAACCGGGTTTGATTCCCCACTCCTCCACTTGCACCTGCTGGAGGACCTTGGGGAAGCCATAGTTCTGTCAAGAGCTGTTCTTGAAAGAGCTCTCTCAGCCCAACCTACCTCACAGGGTGTCTGTTGTGGGAAGGGGAAGGGAAAGGAGTCTGTAAACCGCTCTGAGACTCCAAGTGAAAGGCGGGGTATAAATCCAATCTCTTCTTATTACTCTATTATAAGGAAATACCAGAAATGCTCTGGTGTTTTAACAGATGTCCTGAGTGGGCTTTCGCTCAGGGAAACTTCTGTCCAAAGCCTCGTTTTAAAACAATGCAACCCAAACTCTAAACCGGTTGTCTTCCCCCTGTGAGCCAGGGACAGAGGCGGGCCGCAAGCCCCTTTAGAGCTCTGCGCGGTCACGCAGAAATAAAGGCTATGGCGTGCAGAGGGGCTGACTCCTTAACTGCAGCCCCCGTGCCTACTCAAGACCAATGTTCCCTCTAAGCTGCGGAGTCTTGTGAGCAAAAATTCTACTTTGTGAGCAGCTGGCCTTAAAGCTGTGAGCGAGCGAGTTGGCTTCTGCATAAATTAGTTTGCTCTGGAGCTATCTTTCCTGAGCTGAGATAAAAATGTGTGAGCCAGAGGCTAAAAAACTGTGAGCTAGCTCACACTAACTCAGCTTAGAGGGAACACTGCTCAAGACCCCACTGAACTTTAGAATCCGGCTAAGCACCAAGCGCCTCTCATGGCGGTAGCATCGCCACTCCCATCCACAACGGAAGGGCAAGGGCTGTCCCGTCCGACACACGACAGGCGTGGGAAAGCGGAACATGTCACTTTCTCCCAGTTAGAAAGGGAGGCGAAACTGGGAACCCGAAATGTAACAGCGGCGAAGAAGCGAGAAAAGAAAACTCCAACAGACTATGCCACGACGGCCGAGCCCCAAAGAGAAATCACGCTCACGACACAGGCGCCGTCCAAGTCTCTAAGGGAAAAACACACGGGCAAAACAAGGGACGAAGGGCTTTTAATGCGCTTCTCACTTTCGGGGTACCTTTACCTCGCCTTCTGGGAACTTCGGCCTCGCTTTCCTTCCCGTTAGCCCGCCCCCTCAGTAAGAGGTGATGCGGACGGCGCATGCGTAGGACTCTTAAAGGGGAGGGCTAGAATTAAAGGGAATGACAACCGGGAAGTTCCGAGTTTGAGTAATATGAGGGTGTTGGTGGGAGGGAGGCGCGTCTCTTTTGCGTGGTTTGAGAGCGGCGCGGCGGGGGGGTTTTAGCCTCCGGCTCACACATTTTTCTTGATATATTAGGGGTTGTAATTTCTGCACGGGTTTATGTCCTTCGCTGTAGATTTATTAAATTGAAGCAATCTCCAGTGTTTGGCTACACAACCACTCACTAATCCGGATTAAGCGGAAGTCCGGTGGTTCTTGAAAGACTGGCGCAATTTGTTCAAAACCCAGCATAGTTTTTTCATTAGTCCGAACAGAGTTCGTCAGATCCATCTAACTCTAGACTGGATACTGAAATGGATTCTGTTAGTCTTTAGCGTCAAGCCGCTTGGAACCCTGCTAAATTTTGTTGTAGCAGACTAACGCGGCTACCCCTCAGATACCAAGGCTGCGATCACACACACTAAATAATCCACTTTTCAACTGGATTTTTACTGTGTGAACTGGCAAAATCCAATTTGAAAGTGCATTGAAAGTGGATTATTTCTTGTGTGTGATCGCATCTTTAGTCGGATTAGACTACCCACGGTGCTAATAAATGTGAACAGAAAAGATATAGGAAAATGCACCATTCTTTAGCTATCCTTATTTGGAGTGGTGTAGGACGATCAGATGTTATTTGGGCTGGAGTAACCAAGTCTTGTTAAGTGTCTTTTTCCAAGGGTTTTTTTGGGTGTGTGTGTGTGGAGAAGGAATAGCTTCTACTTCCTAAAAAAATCTTTATGTCTCAGTTTATGTACTAAAAGAGGAAAATGCTTTCTCATTATGTTCACCAGTTAGTGGTGTATTTCTCTCAGGTGCTTTATTTTCAAAGTTGTCTAACAGTGTGCTGAATTTTGGGACTCTTTAAATACTGGTGTTCTGGCCATATTATGTAACCATTAATAATGAAGAGTCGTGTGTTCTAGGCATCTAAATGTAACCTTGTACCGCCTGCTGGTTCTGCCTCCTTGGCAACTCTGGTTTGTGCTTGTGCTATGACCCAGGAATTCTGGTTCAAAAGTATTTGTTGTGAGATGGTTCAGTATAGGGGGATGATTTCTTTTTAGTAACTCCAATCCAACTGCTATTGGGAGCGAGAAGCAATTCTTTTCTAAATGAGAAAAGAGAGGCTCTAGTGAAAAACAAATTAACCAAATGATGGGGAATAGAAGCCAGCAGTATTTTTTTCTTTTAAAGGGCAATATGAGTGCCCCTGTAAATAAGTACATACTGTTTTACTAAATATTTATTCAAAACATGCACAAGCATAGCGGAATTATGAATTGTTGTCATCTCCTTTAGAGACCTGTGAAAGTCACACATAAAGGTAATCCAATGACAAAAGAAGTGTTTGAACTGCTTGAAAACAGATTATTTTTACATTTTGTAGGACAGATGAACAACATAACTCCTTCAACATATGTGCGATGCCTTGGCTATAGCACGTTGAGGCAACTGGCAGATTTCATTGATCCACAGGAAGGATGGAAGAAACTAGCAGCAGACATAAGAAATCCATCTGGTACAGACAGATACAACCAAATGCACATCAGGTAGCACTGCATGCCAGTTGAATGATTGGGGAGCTAATAAGTCTGTTTTATGACATGAAAATGCTTTACATTAGTATTAAAACTATGAAAGCAATTACATCATTATTCTTCTATTTATTTATTTATTTGATGTATATACTGCCCTCCCCGCGAGCCGGGTCGGGGTGGTTTATATCAATACCCAGGGGTCATTTTGTAGAAAAAGAGGTGCATGAGCTCATTATCATAACTCATTAACACAACTTATTTGCATATGCCACACCCCCGACATCACTGGAAGTGTGTCAGAAGGCAACACCCACTGTTCAGGCTCCACTGGACTGTTTTGGATTGCTAGCTATTGGGGGGGGGGACATTCAGATCTGTCCTCACAAAGGAGGGAGAGCTTGTACCTGAATAAAACTTCGTCTTAAAGGTGCCACTGGACTGTTTTGGACCGGGGGGCCAGGGGGAGCTCTGCAACTTACCTGGCTGCTTCTTGCTCTGACTGAGGGCTGCTGGGAGCAGGGGGTGGGGCTTGTTGCATGTGCCCACCCCCTGGGCTCTTTACTGCTGGAGCTCCGCTCCTGTGCACTCCTGCAGGAAATGACCCCTGTCAATACCGTTAAACAATCACTTAGGAACAGATTAAGATAACATAAAATCACAGATCATAAAATCATAAAATATATGATCTGTGTAATGGGAAATCCTTCTTAAACACTTCAGTTTTCAAGACAGTCCTTTACCTTTTTCACATTTACTTTTAAAATTATCTTTCCATTCACATAGGAAAGTACAGTATTTGCAAGATACTTTCTCACACTAAATTATTTCTTCTTGTATGCTGTAATTCTCTGCTTGCTTTCTTTTAACACCTTATAGCAGGGGTGTCAGACATATGGTCCACGGTCCAGGGCTCTTATCCGCCTGTGAGCAACTGGTCATTACCTTTATTGCCAGATGACAGAGGCTGTGCATTTTGTTCCTGTATCCTGTTCCCGTGCTAATGAGTAATGGGGAGTGGAAGTGGGAGGGTGGGTATCAGGGAAATTCTTCAAGGAAATACTGTAAGAGTGTTACAATTTTAAGCATGTTTGCTTTTTGAGTAAAAAAATAATATTATTAATTGGGTTTGCCTGTGTCCTTTATAAAGTTTATATTTCCTATACCTGCTATAACATTTCATGGCATATGACCTGGCCCAACAAAGTGAGACTTATGTCAGATTCGGCCCTCGTAACAAATGAGTTTGACTCCTCTGCCTTATAGCTTCTCTACTTGCCTTTGGCCTGGATCCTATAGAGTCATTCTTCTGGCAGTCCAGCAGCTCCTCTGACAGAACAGCCTCCCTGTTTGCAAACAGGGCAGGGTGATTTTTGCCAGTTTATCCTCTCCTGATGTGAGGAGAGTCTGAGTCCGCGGGGCAAAGGAGACTGCAGTGAGTGGTGGGGAGGCTGTTCAGTTGCCTTCCTCGAGCATGAGCCCATTTGCCCTGTTTAGGATCCAGTCTTTTACCTATCTTCTTGAGTTGGTGGTATGCTTAGATAACAAGTTGCTTTGCCAGGGCAAATAAAAGTGTTGCGACTCTCATGTCTCAGTCTTAAGGCCTCTTTGCTTGGAAAAGTGTCTTCCTGAGTTTTGGAGGGCTTACTTCCTGGGAAGCATTCTTGAGATTGCAGTCTTGGTCATCTTAAACCCCCCCCCCCCAAGACTCTGTTACTGGGAAACCATGTATCATTTTGTTGGAGGAAACATTATTTTTTACTGCTAAAGAGGGATGTGTCATGAGAGCCAGAAGAAGAGTTCAGTTTTATTTAAAACCTTAACCTTTAAGCATGGTGAAGAATATTAAATGCTGCTTCTGATTTTCTCCATTGTCTCTGATTATAAATCTGTTTGGGCTTCTTAGGAGATTCGAAGCATTAAAACAAATGGGGAAGAGCCCCACCTGTGAGTTGCTTTATGACTGGGGGACACTAAACTGTACAGTTAGTGATCTGGTGGACCTGCTGATCAGAAATCAGTTCTTAACTCCAGCCAGCCTTTTGCTTCCAGGTAATCTTGATCTGAACAGTATCTATGGCTTGTATGAAAATGGAACGTATTTTATTGTAATAATTTGGACATTTCTAAATGTCTTTGTACAGTAATCCTGAGAAACAAAAACCTGATGAATAAATTAAGCACATGTAAAACTTTTGCTTTATTTTTGTATTTACATTAAATAAAAGATCGGGGGATGCTATGATGTAATTCAATGGGTAAGGTGCAGTCATGGCTCAAGTTGAGTTTGTGCTAGAGAAATCTGCAGGGCCACCTGAAAATCTCATAGTGTTTGACAAAAATATGATAAGCAACAATAGAACTTGACAGTGCAGCCTTAACACTAGAGAATCTCCAAGGAAGGCAGACCCTACTTTGACTGGCAGCAGCTCTCCAGGGTCTCAGCTTGAAATCTGTCACATCAGCTAAACCCTGATCCTTTTTACTGGAGGGCTTGGACCTGGGACCTTCTGTATGCAAAACAGATGCTCTGCTGCTGAGCCCAGAAAGCACTGACAAGTCCATAGAATCATAGAATGTTAGAGTTGGAAGGTCATCTAGTCCAACCCCCTGCACTCTGCAGGAGCATAGCTGAAAGATAGCCCTACATACCTACAACATACCTGAAAGATAGTTGTCCAGCCTCCACTTGAAAACGTCCAGCGAAGGAGCATCCACCACCTCCCGAGGCAGACCATTCCACTGCTCAACCACTCTTACAGTTAGGAAGTTTCTCCTGATATTTAGCCGGTAACGACTCCCTTGTAATTTCCACCCATTAGATCTAGTCTTGCAATCCGGAGCAAGAGAGAATAGATCTGCTCCATTTTCTACATGACAGCCCTTCAAATACTTGAAAACTGCAATCATGTCCCCTCTAAGCCTTCTCTTTCCCAGGCTAAACATACCCAACTCTTTCAGCCTTTCCTCATAAAACTTGGATTCCAACCCTCTCACCATCCTGGTTGCCCTCTTCTGGACACGGTCGAGCTTGTCAACATCCTTCCTAAAAAAAGAGGCCTGATCCATAGCAGAATAGAGCGGAACTACCACCTCCCTTGATCTGGACACAGTGGTTCTGTTAATGCATCCTAAGATTGTGTTAGCTTTCTTCACAGCCACATCGCACTGCAGGCTCATGTTTAGCTTGTGATCAACCAGAACACCTAGATCCCTTTCACATGTGCTGCTGTCAAGCCAAGTCCCTCCCATTCTATATCTGTGCCTTTGATTTTTTGTACCTAAGTGTAGGACTTTGCATTTATCTCTATAGAAATTCATTTTATTTGTCTCAGCCCACTGTTCCAGCCTATCTAGATCATTTTGAATCCTGACTCTGTCTTCTTCAGAATTAGCAATCCCACCTAGCTTCATGCTAGGTCCAATATGTCCTTCTTGGCCTGAAGCACCAAGTTCCCCTAGAATTCTCCTGCCATGTCTGCATTTTCACTGTCAAGTCATCAAGGCAATTACGGGCTGCTTTACCTGAACAGACAGCACATACAGGGGACTGTATATTATTTATCATGTTGTCTGTTCCATGTTCCAATGCAATATATGTCAAAACATCAGAATGCCAGTTGGACAGTAGATTCAGAATGAACAAAGAAAATACTTCTTCACAGATTAAATTATTAAAATGTGGAATTTGCTGCCAGAGGATGTAATGATGACCATAGGCAGAGTTGGCTTTAAATCAGAATAGACAGATTTGTGGAGAATAGGTCTATCAGTGGCTACTAGCCATGGTGATAATAAGGAGCCTCCCCATTCAGAAGCAGTAAACCTCTGAATATCAGTGCCAGGAGGCAATATCAGGAGAACGTCTTTGCCTGTATGCTCTGTTTGCTGACCCTCTGGAGTAATTGGTCAACTGGTGTGTGAGACAGGTTGCCAGACCAGATGGACCACTTGTCTAGGGGAGCAGAGCTCTTATGTACTTATGCTGGGAACAAACAGGGAAGCATCTGCCTGGCTGTTATTGGAAACAGGGATACTGGGACTAGATGAACTTTCAGTCTGAGCCAGCAGGGCTCTTATGCTTTTATCTGGTGAGATGCCACCATGGTTGAGCTTCTGTGCTGTTGTAAATTCTCCTTACCAGCCAGATATCATACAATTTTGGCAAGATGCATATTTTGAGTACTTTCTGATTCACAGGGATGGGCCACATTGATGAATTGCACCATTAGATTGTGAAGATAAATCCAGCATGATGTATTCCATATATTTTATGTGCTGTTATGGGTTATGCATGTTGCACAATATTTCCAACCAGAAACTCTGTGGGATTGCTTTTTATTTCATTAACAGACTCTGTAAGAGTGACAGACGATGCTACAGTAACATTCCCTGTACAAGAAGCTGTGCCAAAATATGACGGAGAAATTCCTTTAAAGAAAAAGCAAATGACATCAGTATCGCCACTCTCGACTCCAGATAATGGGCACCTCACTGTGGCTTCTTGTAGCTTAATGGTGGAAGAGAACACCTTGCATTTGAGTGACTCAGGTAGGAAGGTGGTACTTCCCATCATATATTTAATGCTGAACCTGGACATTAAGGTATGGGTTGAAAAACTGACATGCTGGGATCAAGAACAGATTGGGAAGACATTTGTACAAACCTGGGTCTCCCCCCCCCCCAGACTGGCACAAAAATCCCAAACAAGGAATTTTTAGAACTAAAATGAAAAGTGGGGAAACATGAACATACTGGGAGGAAAATGAGACCTTGCAACACTATTTTGAGGGTCATTTAACAAACAGTCAATATAAGGGAGAGAGGCCGGAAGGTGCTGGTGATGGGGGGGGGGGGAGGCGGCAGGGAGGGAGGGAGGGAGGGAGGCTGTGGCAGCAGTGTTGCAGGTGAGCTAGCTGGAGGGTGAGTGGGCTGACGTGTGGGTGGGCTGGCAAGCAAGCAAAGGGGCAGGCAGGAATGGCAGTGGGGAGGGTGAGAGAGGTGACATAGCTGGGTAAGCTGAGGAGGACACAGCAGCAGGGGGAGGAAAATGAAGAGAAGGGAGAGAAGAACTAACAATGGGATGGGGGAGGGCAAAGGAAGAAAGTGAAGCAATGGGGGGCGAAAAGGGAGAACAATTGCTCAGGAAGGGTGGTGGGGGAAGTGGAACAAAGCAGCAGGGGGGGCAAGGCCACTAGAAGACAGGAGAAGCAAGTCGAAGGAGTGGGACTTTGGGACAATATTTATGGGACTTCTTGAGTTTTAATCAGTTTTTCTTCATTGCTTGTTTGGACCGTTAATATTAAAATATCCATATTTTTACTAGTTGATTGAGTGATCAGTGTACTAATACAGAGTAGCTGACAGTTGCATTTTGCTTTCTTTTAATCATCATTGGAGAAAATGCTAACCAAGTTTTTACACCTTTAGCTTCAGCAGCTTGGGAAGCTCAGATTTAAAACTAGGCCAGCCTCACAGATGCAAGGTCCCCATAGCTTGAACAGATAATCTGAGCCAAAGATGCATTCTCTATCCCCTTTCCACCCCATCCCAGTTTATCTGCTCTGTTGAACAATGAGGTAGTGATGAGGTAGCGATGAAGATAATTGAAAGGAGAGAAAATACTTGAGGTGTCTCTCCCCCCTTTTTTCTTTCCACCCCAATGCATTCTTGGAATTCTTGGTAAACAAAATTTTATTTTTTCCATAGGAATACAACATTTAAATTAAACCATTTCATTTTTCCATTGTTTACCCCATTCCCATCTCCTCCCCTCCCTTCCGTGGCTTCCCGCAATGCTTCCCCCCCATTTCACATTACTTTACATCAATTATATCATTTTTCTTATCATTACAATCTCAAGATAACTTCATTTGACTTAATATTGATCTAAACATATTAAGTTTTGTTTCACATCCCAGTTCTTTTCCAGATATATTTTAAAGTCACTCCATTCTTGAAAAAAAACGTCGTCTTCATCGTTGTTCAGTTTTTTTGTAATTTTATCCATTTCAGCCATGAACAGAACTTTTTGTATCCAGTCTTCTATCTCTGGTATTTTCTCTGTTTTCCAAAATTGTGCATATATCATTCTCGCTGTTGTTATTAAATACCAGAGTAAAGTCTTTTTAGTCGTATTGACTTCTTCCATTTTCAGTCCCAAAAGCAGAATTTCTGGTGCTTTTTTGAAAGAGCATTTCAATATTTTTTGTATTTCCCTGTGGACTTTTGTCCAAAAGTCTACAGCTTTCTCACAAGTCCACCACATATGGTAAAATGAGCCCTCATGGGTCTTACATTTCCAACATTTATTTGACATAGTCTGGTTCATATTTGCAATTTTCTTCGGAGTCATGTACCACCTATACATCATTTTATAACAATTCTCTTTGACATTGGTACAAGGCGATATCTTAATAGAATTTTTCCACAAATATTCCCAAGTTTCAATAGACACTTCCTTATTCATATTTATTGCCCATTTTATCATTTGCTCTTTCACAGTTTCATCTTCAGTAAACCATTTTAACAACACTTTATACATTTTAGAGATATTTTTCCCCCTCCACTCTCCCAAAAGTTCATTTTATCCCATTTCTTAAAGTCTTGAGTTAACTTGGTCCATAATTTTTCATAGTTATTCTTGTATAAGTCTATATTTCTCGCCGTTAACTCAATGCCTAAATATTTCGGTTTTTTTACTACTTCACATTGTACCAGGTCTTGTAGTTCCACTTGTTTTTGTTTCGTCATGTTCTTACAAATAAGCTTCGTTTTATTTTTGTTCACATAGAATCCAGCCAATTCTCCAAAATCTTTTATCTTTTGGAATAGTAATGGTAACTCTTCAATCGGGTTTTCCACAATAAACATAACATCGTCTGCAAATGCTCGATACTTGTATTTAAATCCTTTATGTGTCAATCCCTTTATCTCTTGGTCTTGCTGTATTTTTTGTAACAATACTTCCAGTACCCATATGAATAATAGCGGTGACAAAGGACAACCCTGTCTTGTACCTTTTTGTACCTTGAAGTTATCTGTCACTTCCTTATTCACATTCAATTTTGCAGTTTGTTCAAAATAGATAGCTTCAATACAGTTTCTAAATTGTTGTCCCGTTTCTATTTTTTCCATCATTTGTAGCATAAAATTCCAGTTAAGATTGTCAAATGCCTTTTCTGCATCAACAAATAATAAAGCTACTTCTTTTTCTGGGTGCTTCTCATAATATTCAATTGCATCCATTACTATTCTTACATTATCACGAATCTGTCTTTTTGGTAAAAAACCAGCTTGGTCTTCCGAAATCACTGTTTGTAAATAGTTTTTCACCCTTTCTGCAATAATTTTTGCAAAGATTTTGTAGTCATTGTTTAGAAGAGAGATTGGCCTGTAGTTCTTCACATTTGTTAGATCTTGTCCTTCCTTTGGTATCAGTGAAATAATTGCCTCTTTCCATGAATCTGGCACCTTTTTGTTCTCTCTTATTTCGTTGGATAAAGCTTCCATGGCCGGAAGAATTTCCTCTTTCATTTTTTTATAAAACTTTGCTGTAAATCCGTCCGGCCCTGGCGCCTTTCCCAACTTCGATTCTTCAATCGCCTTCGTCACTTCTTCTTTTTGAATTCGACCATTTAATAAATCCTTAAATTCACTGCTTATTTTAGATAGTGGACTTTCTTCCAGATATGTTCTAATCTTCTCAAGATCAGTTCTAGTTGCTTGGAATAATTTGGCATAATACTTGAAGAAACTTCTCTTTATACCATTAGGGTCAACGAATTCCTTTCCATCTTCTATAATTTTGGTTATCATTCTTCTTTCTTTTCTAGTTTTAAGTTGCCAAGCTAAATATTTTCCCGGTCTATTTGCCCCTTCGAAAGATTTTTGCTGTAACTTCTTTAAATTCCAATAGAGTTCATGGTTCAAAGTTTCATTCAGTTGCTCTCTTAGCAACTGCAATTCTTTGATGATTTTCTTTTTCCCAGGTTTCTTTTTTAATTCTTTTTCTTTTTGGGCTATTTTTTCCAACACTTCTGCTTGTTTTTGAAATTTTTCCTTTTTTTGCTTCACATTTTGCGAGATGAGGATTCCTCTCATCACGGCTTTGTAGGCATCCCACACAACCTGTATCGGGGTCTCTTTGTTTAAATTTTCTTTAAAAAATTGTTTTGTTTCTTCCTTTAGCAATTCTACTACAGCTTTTTTATCCAACAAATCTTCATTTATTCTCCAAAGGAAGGATTTGTTCCTTTCTATAGAGCTCCACACAACAGGGTTGTGGTCTGAATTACATCTGGGCAAAATTTCAATTTTATGTGTTTTCATTGACAATTCTTCTGACATCCAAATCATATCAATTCTGGAAAAAGAACAATGTCTATTGGAATAAAATGTAAAGTCTTTCTGTGTCGGGTTCCATTTCCGCCAAACATCTTCTAATTTTTCCTGTTTGACTATTTCAAAAAAGTTCCTTGGCAATTTTCCACTATTTTCGTTGCCTTTTTGTGGTTTTCTGTCCAAGCGGTCTATAGTTCCATTAAAGTCTCCAGCCATAATGACTTGGTCATAAGTTTGTTTTTGTAGGTGCTCATTTAAGTCCTTAAAAAATTTCTCCTTTGCTCCATTGGGTGCATATAAATTGATCACCAGTGTCTTTTTTTGTTGGATCATAACTTCCACACCCACATATCTCCCTTCCAAGTCGTTAAAAATTTCTTTAGGTTGCAAGTGATTTTTCACATATGTCACCACTCCTTTCTTCTTGTTTAGGGCCGAAGAACAAAATTCCAATCCTAATTTAACATTTTTTAAATATTTAACATCTTGTTTTCTGATATGAGTTTCTTGCAAGCATATCACATTACAATTTTGTTTTTGTATCCAATAATTGATTCTTTTCCTCTTGTTTGGTGAATTTAATCCATTCACATTCCATGACAACAATTTGTAATCCATTATGCGTTTTAATTTAAAGTTCTCCAAAGTCATCTAAATTGTCCGCTTTGAATTTGTAAAAATCCGTCACCGATCTGATCAGAATCCTCCCTCCTTTGTATGTGAAGGATAAACCTTGCGGAATTTCCCATCTATATCTGATGTTCAACGCCTTCAGTTTGTCAGCCAAAGGTTTATACCTTTTTCTGTCCTGAAGTATTGCTCTTGGGAGCTCTCTCATGACCATAATTTTGTTTCCTTCCATTTCAAACGGGACGGTGAATTGTTTCTTAAAGATGTCTTCTGTTGTTGTTCTTGTCACAAATTGTACAATTACATCTCGTGGTAAATTTTTCTTTTCCGCAATTCTGGAGTTCACTCTATAAATTAAATCAAAGTCTGATTCCATTGATCCTTCATCTTCGCCCAAGAATAGAGTTATCGCCTTCATCATCTCCTCTCTTATATTTTCATTTTCTTTCTCTTTGATACCTCTAAATCTCAGATGAGTTTGCATCCTTCTGAACTCCATCATTGTTTCAGATCTTCTAAGTTGTTGAGTCAAAGAATCCTGTTTCTCCTCCATTTGTTGCATCTTCTCTTCCGTTTCTGTAGTTTTGGTTGCATTATCCTGTATTTCTTTTTTGACTCCTTCTATCTCTTGCTTGATTGAAGTTATTTCTGAAGTAACCAATTCCTTTATTGCTGTTATGTTTTTCTCTTGGACTTCCTCAAGTTGTTTCAAATGGATCTGAGTTTGCTTTGCCATTTGTGCCTCCAGTTGTTTTTCCATCTGTTCTTCCAGTTGTTTAACAATCTGAGCTCCCATTCTTTTTTCAATCTGCTCCCCCATGGCTTGTATCGCATCCATCATCCTTTTCTCCATCGCTTCCATGGCAGTCTGCATCTCTTTCCTCTCCTTCTCCCTCTCTTTTGACATTTTGGGGGTTGATGTAGAGCTTGTCCTTGATCTCACAACTGGTTTAATGTCAGGGTCTGAGTCAGCTCTTTTCTTTCCCCTTCTGGTCTCCGTTTTGGCGATTTTCACTGCAGTGCTCAAATTCACAGACAAACAGTCTCTTCTAGAAGATAACCTGCAGGTCAGCCAGTTCCATCTGTTTTCGCTTTTACAGACCCTCTGATAAACGTTTAAACAGCAAATTAAATTGAAGTCCTCCTCAAAATGTCGGGCGCAACTTCTCTATGGTAATCCGGTATAGAGTAGGTCAGTTTGCCATTTCTGCAGGTCCCGTCTGCTCGCATGTACTCACATCCGGTCCTGCGCCTTATAGAGTCCGAGTTACTTCCTGTTAATTACAGCCCGTCCAGGGTTTCCTCTTCCTCTTCAACCCACTCGGCACTCTTTTGTGGTTACACCGACCTATTCTTCCCGCGATGTATTTCGTCAGTTTCGATTTCTCAGCTGCGCGCACATCTCGATCCTTACCACAGGAATGTTAAACAATATAGTTTTTTGCAGTTTTGTAGCCTTCAATCAACTATTTTCTTTTCCGGAATCAAGTTTCTGGGAATGTTTATTCTATATCCGCTCAACCGCTTGTTTCAAATTGCATCTTATCTTAGTTCAGGTAAGCGGTACGTTTATTGTTATCTAGCGCGATCAGAACGGGTTTCGCATTGCTTCTTTTCACTCACTGTTGTTGCCCCTTCATCAAGAGGTCGGCTGTTGAAGGATTTATGCCGGTAATCCGGCTCGATCAGCTGCTGGAGAGTTGCTTGGCATTTGCCTTCTTCGTGGGAGGAGATCAAAGCCTGTTTCAGCTTCTTCCGAAGCTAAATCACGCCAACCTCACACTCCCTCTTAGGCTTGGCTGCCTGCTTGTCCCCCCCCCCCCCCCTGGGGAGCGATGCGTTGGGCTAGAAACTGCCCAAACTGTCAAAAGCAGCTGTCGCTCACTTCACACGATCGTGAAGTGCGTTAGTCCTCCATCTTAGCTCGACCGGAAGCCTGCATTCTTGGAATTCTAATTAATTATCAAGAGTTCTGGGCATAGGCGTAATCTTCGTGGGGGTGGTGGGGCGTCAGCCCCCGCCGAAATTTTCAGGAAGGTGCTCCGCCTCCCCAGGGAGTCACCCTTGCTCCTAGCAAAGCAATGCTTCTGGCCCAGCCCCCCCCCCGGGAAATTCCTGGAATGAATTTTGGGGGACACTGCAGGTATTTTTGCCCATCTCAGCTATCTCATCTTTCCACCCCAACAACAAGAGGAAGGTGAGAAGGATTTCAGGGGTGTGCCTAGAACCCCATGGTTTCTGGTGTTGTTTTTTTTTAATCAAGTTTGTTTGAGCTGGAATCCAGGGTGGGTCCCCCAGCTCACCCATCTTTACAGCCATCTGTTGAAGACAAATCCCTAAAGCTATTAATCATGGCTGGGATTTATGGTGCTGGGACTGAATTCTTGGAAGTGGATTGCTATGTTTTCATTCAAAATAATTTTATAGATAATTAAAAGAAGATGAACACTTCCACTCATGCCACGTGAAAAAGTTCCTATTTCGTTTCAGGGTTAAAGAGTTTTTTGTTTCATGAGCTGCAAAGTGTTACAAATAATTTTGATGATCGAGTGGTATCGGCTGGTGGTAACAAGCTGGGCGAAGGCGGCTTTGGAGTTGTATACAAAGGATGCATTAATGGCAGAACTGTGGCAGTGAAAAAACTTTCTACTGTAGGTTGTCAGCAATTTAATGTCTCAATTTATGTATTCTGTACATTGCTTTTATATAGTACTTTGTATCTCACTCAGAGAACTGTAGAAATGAAGTCATGGAAGGGGGTATGAAAATCATACAGGGATTAGCCCAATGCACTGTACTCCATATCCAACCAAAGCCAATCCAACAGAAGAATGTAGCCCACCCTAATCCAGAATAAGTTTCTCAAATGCAGCTTTTGGGACAGACAAAGATACCCGCAGGGTTTGTAAAATATTTCCAGTTCCCAAATGCCAGTTTTTGTGTGGGCCTTTTCCAATTCCCAAACAGCAAAGGAGGGTAGCTCCTTCAGAGTAGGAAAGAGAATACTGTGTGTGTGTTGTGGGGTCAGAAATTTTCAAGCATGTGCTAGTGGACAAAGCCATATGCTTTCTCTTATTGTTAGGAGGATGGTATAATCGTGGGTCATTTGAACCCTCTATTTAATCGACTCCTTTGCAGTTGGGGTTTCAAGGTTTGGCCCCTGCTCTTCAAAGAATTGTTTAGAATTCAGCATTTCACAGTCCAGCTTTCCTCAATATGGTCCTGAAAGACATGTATGCAGAAGAATCTTTCTGTGCAATTTATAAAGCACCCCCCTTCCCCCAGGAGGGACTGGATCAGGGAACAACATTATTTGTGTATGATGTCTTCATGTCATGGGCACTGGTCTGGAATTGGTCTGTCTTCTCACTTACCATAGATCCTTAACTTCTGAGTCTACAGTTAATTTTTTTTTAAATTTCCTGTGTAGGTGGCTGATATAAGCCTTCAAGACCTGAAGCAGCAGTTTGAGCAAGAAATAAAGATTATGGCAAAGTAAGTAGTGAGCTTTTGGTGGGGGTGGGGTGGCAGAAGGATATGCTTAATGTAAAGTGATTTGTGTTGGTTTTTAAATTGCAGTAGAAATTTTAGCTTGAAACTTGTAAAAATCTGTACAGAATCCTGATTGTTTCCCCCTCACTCAATTTTATGAAACTACAGTATGCATATTAGAAACCGAGGTGGGGGACCTGTAAGAACTTGCAGGTGCATCTTATTTCCCCCCGTATCTCCTCCCACACCGTTTCCCTTCTTTTGCAGCTCCCATAACCTCTCCCTTTCTCCAGCTTCCTCCTGTCATTTCCACTCACCAGGCAGTGTACTTTCATCTGCTCCCGTCTTCAGTGTTCCTTCCTCCTCTCTCTGGGAAAAGCCTGGCTGAGTTTAATGGTGGTTGTACTGGGCCTGTCCCCGGCAAGTCCTTCTTCATCAGGGGATGAGGCATTTTCCAGGACTGCTTTGTCCTTCAGGTCCACCCCTGCTTCCCACCGTGGTTTAGCTTTACCGAAATGAAGGCTTGGAAGGCTCAGCTATATTGTTGTGGTTGCATAGCAGCCTCCACAATGGCCAGTGACAACTCAATGGGATCCCCAAAGAAGCATACCCCTCTGTTGCTGTTCAAAACAAATCAGATAAGCCCTTTAAAAATAGCTTTCTTGTTTGCCAAAACCTTTTCAAAATATGCTTTCAACATAGAAAAGGCTAGTTTTGAAAGGGTTCTATTGCCCCCTAGTGTCTTTGGGGGCACACAGAGAAGCGTTCTCTCCTTGGGTTTTGCTTCTTGAAGTTCCACTGAAATTCAATGGTAGACTATTGAAATCAAACCTTGGATGTGAGGATCCCGTGAATCCCAGTTGGGATAAAGTATCATCATCTCTAATGCCCTAGTTAGAATTAGGAATAGTAACAGTAATGTCTTGATCATCACTAGATTCCATGCAATACTGTTCAGGGGATTGTGCTGCTAATCTGTAGATTCTGAAAAAATATGTATTGTTTTTTAATACTCTACTTGCTGTCAGGTGTACTAGCTCCCCTCCCCAAGTCATTTCTATACTGAATTCTGTATTTACTTCCTAAATGGCAAGGCCAGCTGATTCCAATGCAACTTTGATATAAAAGGCTGAGTCGCATCCTTAAACGTTTCAACAGTTTGTCAGAATAAATATCAGTAGTCTTCCATTTATGTATTTATACATAGTTTTCTTCGGATCCCAGTTTAATGATTTATAAGGAATCCTGTCCCTGTATGCGCTTATGAATTTTGTGTGCTATGGCTTACTCAGTTCTTAATGAGAGGGAAGTTCCCGATCGATGGGACACAATTCCTGTAAATACTGCTGGTCAATATTGTGATTTAATTCTTCAGACATTTTTTACTGCCCTGATTTTGTTAATATATAAAATACTGAGAAATATGGAATCCCAGGTCTAATAAATTCTTCTATATCTGTCAGATGTCAGCATGAAAACCTAGTAGAATTGATTGGTTTTTCAAGCGACTTGGATCAGCCTTGTCTCGTTTATGATTATATGCCGAATGGGTCACTACTTGACAGACTAGCTTGTCTGGTAAGTTAAATGCTTAGTTACTACATAGATAACAGACAGATCTTTTCAAGAAAAAAAACTCGACCAATTTTGTCTTGTAAGTGTAGAACAGGGGATTCGTTGTTGAATCTGGGCACTTATGGAGATTTAAGAAGGGGCAATGCGCATCACCACAAAATGGCAGCCCTGGGGGCCAATGTCAAAGGTTGGGAGATCCTCAGTCAATCATCTTCCTGTGACTGTGGCAGCTATTTCTGAACAGATGGTCTCTGGAGACAAAGAGACCCTTCCCGGGGTCTCCCGAAGTATTTCTTACTTCAGTAAAATGGAGGAAATGCAGGATTGCCTGTTTATTTTGGGGGAAGAGGTGTTATAGAGAATTGGGCCCCACATCAGTGGATGCTATATTGGGGATTACTAGTCTGTTTAGGATCTCAGCACAAAGACCTGCAGGGATGCCCCTTTTAGGAGGTGGGGCACAACTCTGCACATGGAGTTACCCTCTGTTAAAGTGAAATGAATAGCCTTCATGGATAGGAGTAGTGTACACACTGGAGCACATATGAAGCTGTAGAGCACAAATATTGGTTCTTGTTTCCTAAGCCTACTTTAGGACTGCTATTGTTTGTTTGTTTGCTGTTACTTCTCTATGCTGAATTTATTTATAGATTTTAATATGTATTGTAAGCAGCCTTAGAGGGGGAAAAATGAATAAGTAGAATGGAAATACTGACATTTATTCTCTCCTGTTTATAAGGATGATACAGGCCCGATTCCTTGGAGAACGAGGTGTAGCATTGCTCAAGGCACAGCCAGTGGCATTTGCTATTTACATGAAAATAACCACATTCACAGAGATGTTAAAAGGTAATGCCTATAAAACTTAACAGTTTAAGGACAGGTTTCCCCAACTTTGTTTCACTTGTGTTTCTTAAATATCTCTTTTATCCCCCTCCCCATTTTTTTAAAAAAAAACCATGATTTTTTTCCTGCTGTCATAGTGATGTGTTCTGTGTTTCTCCCAAATCTAATGAGTGAAGAACATTGTGATAGAAGTTGGAGGGGGGGGGGTAAAGAGTGGGAAAATTCCATGAAAAACAGAGTTACAGGGAAAAGTCCATTTCTGAGAACTGAAGAACTGTCCTCGTTTTCATCAGTTACAAATATGTCTGAATTACAGAGGGTGGCTGTGTTAGTTTGCAGTAGAACAGCTAGACTCTAGTCCATTAGCGCCTTAGAGACCAAGATTTTTGGTGGTATAAGATTTCAAGAGTCAAAGCTCCCTTCATCAGATACCTGTCTTAGTGTTTAAAATAACTTCAGCTCCAGTCAGTTAAGGGGAAAAAATGTTGCTGCTTCTTTTTGGACTGGTTAGTGAATTGGCTGTTCTGCAGCGAGTATATTCTAGGTTTCTTTGGTTTTTTTCCCCCAGTGCCAATATCTTACTGACCAAGGAGCTGGTACCCAAACTTTCTGACTTCGGACTTGCAAGGGCATCAGTAAGGTTCACACGTACAATCGTAACAGACAGAATAGTAGGGACAGCTGCATATATGGCACCAGAAGCTTTGCGTGGAGAAATAAGCCCTAAAGTAGACATTTTCAGCTTTGGTGTGGTGAGTAGGAATTAATTGCTGCTGTTATTACTTCGGTGCGGAGAATGAGGAAAAGACATAAACACCTCAGGGATATGTGTGAATGTGGACTGCTGAAGATGCCATTATTTAGGAAAATCTATTGGTAATACAAGGTTGGTCGAAGATGCCTATCATACTGTACAACTTATCATAATATAGGACAGCAACATCTGGCTTTTTGCTGGGCCACGCATGCTAAATAGTGTAAACATGCTTCATTTTTCACGTGTGTCCTGCACGCCTTTCAAGGAGCAACTTGGATTGACACATGAGGGGTTTTTTTGTTTTGTCCTCAACAGCCCTGTGAGGTAGGCTCAGCTTGCCCAGGGTCTTTCTAGTGAATTTTCTGCTGAAGGTTATATCTAAACCTTGATGTCCCTGGGTCACACCTAACACTGTATCATGCTGGCTCTTTTCTCCCATCACATCCACAGCTTTACTGTGTTACAGATTTTTTAAAACAGGGTAAGGAATGGGTGGCAATTTTTCCATACTACTAAACCATTTCAAGTTGTACGGGTGTTTCCTTTTAGTTGTGCTATATTAGTGACACTTCAGGTTCTTCTCTCTGGT